TGTTTGTGTTGCCCCCAACTATGGACTCATTTTGCAAACTTACTTGTGATGCTGGTTTACTGCGTTTCTTTTTCATGATGCCAAAAGGGGGAAAAATGTTGGTTGCTTAGGTTGGGGAAAGGCAGAACAAAAGTGGCAAGACAGGTTGACAAGGGGAATGAACAAGCGACAAGGTTGACAGGAGAATGAAAATGAAGGCATTTGTGTGAAGTTTGTCATCATCAAAAAGGGGGAAAATATTATTGGTAGTTTTGATGATTTGACAAACAATGAGACCTAATAAATGGACCTAATCCTTGTGTCAATGTACACACAAATACCAGGCTATAAAAAGTACAATTGGTTGGTGCATAGTCTCCAAATGTGGCAGAAACCTCGGCTAATGGCATGACCTCGAATGTTGTGTCTATTCTTCATAAAATTTATGTCCAATAGACACAACCTCATTTTTTGCATCTTTAATAATTCTCAAGTATACACACAAATACCATCCTGGTGAAGAATCATCCTTAAAAGCAACAGGGATCTGATAGAGCTGCAAGCTGTCTAGTTCTCTTAGGATTATATCTTTTGTGCTTTCATTGTAAATCTATTCCTAATCTATAAATGATTCAGATCTTTTTTCGATTTGTAAAAGTCTAAATCAGTTAGAGTTAACTGATTTAGTGGGTAGTGTTGTATCTGCTTAGTCAAATTATAAGTCATCTAGGAGCTAGTTGATTTAGTGGGAAGTGTTGTATCTGCTTAGTTGAATTCTATGTTATCTAGGGTTGATAGCTTAGTGGGCAGTGTGGTATCTGCTTAGACTCAGTAAGTAATAGAGTTATAAATTATCTTTGAGATCAATAGCTTAATCTTATTTGGTGTTGTATTTGTGTTTCACTTTTGCTTGAAGAGATTAGTGAAAACCATTGAAAATCCTGTGTGACAGGTTGTGATTTTACTCCCTTGAGCAAGGAAGTTTCCACGTAAACTGCTTCTATTTTTCTGTTCATTGTCTATTCCTTATTACTATTTTTGTTGAGTCAAGGGACCTAGTCCGTTGACTGATAGTGGACACACATATTCTATCAGGTGTTCTTCCAGAGTTTTTGAGCCATTTTACCACTTCCAAAAAGATGTTCAGTTGTCTCCTTATTAGAAGTCTTGCAATAACAACATCTTGAGGTAATGAAGATCCCCATTCTCGCTACTCTTGCATCCGTAGGGATTCTGTCTCTCAAGGATCTCCATACCATGAAGCTCATTTCAAAAGTAACTTCTTGTTTTCCATGTCATTGAGTTCATCCAAGTCTTTTGTCTTTTTTGTCTCAAGAGTTGCCAAGCCGAGGATACAGTAAAATTACCTTTTTTTTTATCCAAAGTCCAAATAAGCACATCAGGTTCTTCAGGCTTCAAGATGAAAATAGAGTTGTTGGTGTAATTTCTAATTGTTTTAGGAAGATAAATATCCCAACCATCCCAATAGTGTCTCCTTTGATAGCATCCTTCAGCTTTAGTTTCTGCGGCCTGCTTCCATCGGGTAGGTGAGCCTATAAAGTGCCTTTATCAGACCAATTGTCATACTAAGCGTCAATGTCACCTCTCCCAAGTCTCCACGCAATGTAATGGTCCACCTTTGTTCTGAATTTGCACTTAACGTTCCATGCTTGAGATTGCCAAGAATACCATTGATTAGTCAAAATATGAGATCTTTGATAATACTTAGCCACCACAAACCTTTTCCAAATAGAGTTGTTGGTTCTAAGATTCCACCAAAGCTTAGTAGTAAAGGCAATACATATGGCAATTAATCTTCTAAAGTTTGCACCTCCTTCTTCACAAGGGAAACAAAGGTTCTCCCAAGAAGCCCAATGGTGTTTTTTTCTTTTCTGCCACACCACCCCAGAAAAATCTGATAATCAACCTTTCAATTTGGTTGAGTATACCCTTAGGAGGGTGCATAAAAGCCAAGAGCTGAGTAGGCAGAGCCAAAATCACATGTTTAATGAGAACAACCCTACCCACTGTAGAAAGAAATTTGGCATGCCATCCATTACTTTTATTAAGAACCTTGCCTATCATCTCAGTAAAAATAAAGATCATCTTCTTTCCTGTGTAGCTAGGGTACCCTAGGTACTTTACCGGGAATGACTTGTATTTCATTCCAGTAATTCTTTCAATTCTCTTGATGGAGTGTCTGGTTCATTAGAGGCCATGATGATGCAGCTCTTATGCTTGTTGATGTGAGGCCAAAAATATATATATATTTTAATCATTATTTGTCTAACATTTATTATTTATATCTGTCCTTTTTGAGCATGAATTTTATGGATAGTGCTAAATAGTATATTTTATTTATAGGAGTAAATTGGTGTAAAGTTTAAGAAGTTTGAAGCTAAAACGAATGAAAGATGGAAGGTTGAAGAAGGAAATCAAGCAACTGCTTAATGGATGAAATTGAATAATATATATATATATATATATCTATATATATATATATATATAAAGTGTTGTATAATGAAATTGAATTGTGAACGGCACAGGACTGCTTCACAACTAAAGGCGGCAACAGCAAAAGAAGTGAGGCGGCACAATTCAAGCAGAAATTGGATTCCCTTTTATTTTGGGTTCCTAATTTGATTTGGACTCAATTATTTTATTTAGGGTTTTCTACATCTATAAATAGTCCATAGAAAGAATAATTAGAGAACATCAATTATTCGAGGATGAGGTCAATTATAGGGCATCAAAGTATAAAGTTGTCAATAATTTTTTGGGTTCTTTTCTTCTTCTTTATTTTCTTAGAGATTAGTGGCTAAACGCCCTTGTTCTGGGGCTGTAGCTACGAATTGAATGTTGATTATTTAAGGTTCTTGAATTAGTTCTTGGTTGTCATTTTAAGTTACTTTTATATTCTTTGTTTTCATACTTTATGCTTGCGCACCATAAGATAAATCTATTATCTATTCTTAAAATTGAGAGAGGAGAGGGTAGATAGACCAGAGAATGTAGAAAGCTCGATCATCCATTACGAGTTGATTTGTGTTTAGAAGTGACGCCCGGACAAACAACTTGCTTGGTTACGAAACAAGATGAAATATAAATGCTCGCCAGTTAGGCATGTCTATCCCCGCTCAACGACGTAGTTAGAAAGCTAACTAGAGTAGGTGACTAGAGGCCGAGAGACCCGACTCATACAATTAACCCTGTAAACCAATAACTTGACAACTAAAATTAGTTCTAAGCCAAGAATTTGATACATGAGATTCATTGCAAGCTGCACCCCTGGAATTTTCCAACCATTGTAAGTAATCTTATTATTTAATTCCTACATTATTTTCTTTATAAATAAAAATCAAACTCTTTTCACACTCTTAAATAAATAATTAGACTAGTACAGTTTTGTAAAAATAGTTAATTGACAAGTCCTTTGGGTTCGATAATTCGGTTCTTTTAAGAGCCACTATATTACTTGTGTGGTACACTTGCGTGTGCAATTGGGAGCAACACTTGTTAATAAGTTTCCCCGAAGCAACTTCATAGGTAGCCAAAGTGCTTTTTTTTCATTAACTCTAAAGAGACTCTGTTATATTCTAGGTGTTTTGATGATCCTCACAAATGCAGGGACCTGGTCTCTGGCAGAGTGCTCTCATCCAGATACAAATAGAGTACAGCTGTAAAGCTGTCATGTCAGGTGGTAGGTGAAAAGTGCAGTGTCCTACACCAACAGAAAGATCGGATGAGATTGTATGCTTCAGTGTCTCACAAATGTAGGGACCTGGTCCCAGGCAGAGTTCTCTAGATCTATAATGGGGTACAACTGTAAAGCTGTCGTGTCAGAGGTTGGTGAGGTGTCAGCGTACTACACCAATTAGAATGGACGAGGGTGTTTGTCCAACGGGTAATAACTCTTTATGGTTGATATTTTATACATGACAAACAACGTATTAAATTCATTCATCCTAAGAAGGAAGTCAGCCAACAAGCCTTTTCAAGAACCCACAAAGAAGTTTGCAAGGGACCTGGTCCCTGCAAGACTGCGATATGAAAATGTAACAAGACAGCTGTCAGATAAGCTGCCACCTCTGATGTGGTAGGTGCACAACTTTTCTAAACAGCAGGCCTTCAGCCAATAGGATTGTTTCAATGAGTTTGTGTTGATTTATATTATCTCTTTCCAAAATACACAAACTCAAGATTTGGCAAACTAAATTTGGATTTTCTCTCAAAATTCATCAGCTTGAAAAGAAGGTCATCTTTAAGGAAGAACATTGCTCAACTCAACAAAGGGACCTGATAGAGTGAAAAAGAGTCTTTGTTGTACTTAGAGCTTTGTGTCTCATGTGCTTACATTGTAAATCTGATCCTAATCTATAAAGGATTCAGATCTTGTTTCGGTTTCTAAAAGTCTAAGTCATCTAGAGTTAGGTGATTTAGTGGGCAACATTATTGTTTCTTAGTCAAAATCTAAATCATCCAGAGAGTGGTGGTTTAGTGGGTGGTGTGGTATCCGGTTAGAAAATTCTATATTAATCGGTGAGGGTTAGTCTATGGGTCAGTGTTGTATCTGATCTGGCTCAGCTAAGTGATATGAGATATTACTTAGTATGGAGATTAGCAGGATAATCTCATTTTGTAAACTAGCTTTTACTTTTTCTTGGAGAAGATTAGTGGAAGTAGTTTGAAAAGTCCTGTTGAGAACAGGTCGTGGTTTTACTCCCTTGAGCAAGGAGGTTTCCATGTAAAGTTGCTTGTCAATCTTTACTTTCAACATTTGTTCTTTACTGTCTAATATTGTAACTGTGTTGAGGACCTGGTCCCATCGATAGTCGTGGACGCATACATTCCAACAAGTGGTATCAGAGCTTGGGCTCTCTATCTGGTTAACACCAAGAGAGAAGTTCCTGCGAGGAATGGCGTCACCACTGAATCATCAAAGAAGTCAGTCCTCAACAAGACCTCTTTTTCTTAATGGTCAGTTCTATAGATAGTGGAAGGTTCGAATGACTGACTATCTTATGGCGGAGGACAGTGAGATATGGAAGGTCATCTGTGAAGGTCCTTATGTGCCCACCATGGAGGTTAAGGTTGGAGAGATAACAAGAGTGATTCCCAAAACTAGAAAAGAGTATAATGACTCTGACAAGCAACTAGTTCAGAAAAATTACAAAGCCAAGAAGCTACTTATGTGTGGCCTTAGTGTAAATGAATACGATCTGATCTCATCTTGTGAATCAGCTAAGGAAATCTGGGATCTGTTGAGAACAACTTATGAGGGCACTGAGGAAATAAGGAAATCTATTCTAGATCTCTTTATCACTCAGTTTGATGGTTTCACCATGAAAAAAGGTGAACTCATTCATGAAATGCGCACCAGATTCTCCACCATTACAGATGAGCTCATGTTACTTGAAGAACAAATCCCTGTTGCCAAGCAAGTCTCTAGGACACTAGAAATTCTTCCTAGATCTTGTACAAATGATTTTGTGACTGAAAATGAGACAAGAGAACCTGATGTAATGACGATGTATACACTATTTGAGTATCTTCAAGTTCATGAGATGCACAGAAAATGGGAGGTTCTCTTTCTTAAGGGCAAAGACAAGAGGACATATCTGATTGATAAGGCCGATCAGAAGAAAGAAAATCATGACAAGGCTACCAACTCAAGTGAAGTGTGTGGCAAGTGCGATCTACCAGGTTACTCCATTGGAAATTGTCCTATGCACAAAGCTGACCACATGAAATCTATCAAGAATGAAGAAGGTAAAGACAAAGAGGGGGACCAGGTCCGTGACAAGCTAAGCAGAAGAGAAGCCTTTTTCCAGGCACTGAAGAAAGATGTAGCTGCATGGGAAAACTCCTCAAGTGATTCAGATGATTCTGAGCACTCTAATGATGCTTTCATGGGAAAGTCAGATAAGGAGGATGCTGATGAAAAGGTAACCCTATCATATTTCAAGCAAAACTTGAATACCTTTTCTACTATAAATTGAGAAAGCTAGCTGTTGTATTACTTGATGTGATATGTAAGCTAACAACTGAGAATGTTCTCGTAAACAATAGCCTAGACATCTCTCAAGATGAAAAAATTGCTTTAGTTCCCCAAATATCTGATATTGAAAATCAAATGGTTATTCTAGAAGCTGAAAATCTAGAACTGAAGGAAAAGATAAAAGGGATAACTAATACAATTTTGAAAGGAAAAAATGAGGGAAGCAGCTTGCAGCTGAAGCTTGAAAATAAGCTGCATACTGCTGAAATGAAGATGAAGTTGGCTTTGGAAAGAAATCTTGAGTTGGAGAGGGACCTGGTCCGTGTAAAAGAGGAGCTTGAAAAATCTCTCAAATGGACCAATTCCTCTAAGATCCTTACAGATCTAATTGGTCAAGGAAACAACAGTAGAAGAGGGTTGGGTTGTAAGAAGATAGATCCCCCGTATAATCCTCACAGCAAATCTGTTTCTGATGCTGATAATTTGTCGTGTGTGTATTGTGGTCGAGATGGACATCTTAGAAAGGATTGTCCTGTTCTGAAAAAATATGGAGAAAGCTCATTAAACTATTCCCACAAAAGGAATAGACTGAAAAAGGGACCTGGTCTTGTTTATCGATCTAAGTTGAAGAAAACTAGTATGCCTCACTGGACAAAAGACTTTCTTATCACTCCGTTATCTGCGTACTGGGAACTCCGTCTCAAATGGGTTCCCAAGGCTAACAAGTGATTTGCAATGCAAGTGAGAGGAAGTAGTAACAGTCAGTGGTGGTTCATGAATAGCGGATGCTCAAAACACGTGATTGGGAAAACTGAAAACTTCCCCTCTCTCTTAAGACACTTCAATATGGAGGTGTCTCTTTTGGCAATGGTAAGAAATGGTACATTTTTTGTGTAGGTTGGACTTGAAAGTCTGTGGAACATTTTTGTGAAAGCTGTGTACTATGTCAATGGATTGAACTACAATTTTCTAAGTGTTTCACAAATTTGTGATGAACAAAAATGAAGTCAAGCTCTTATTATATAGTTGTGTTGTCACAAACTTGCTCTCTTGGGGTGATGATCTTGACAGAAAAGAGATGCAAGAACATGTATATTGCGGATCTGAATATTGCTCGTGGTGACTATCTAACTTGCCTCAATGCTCAAGGTAAGAATCCTGAGGTATGACATAAAAGACGTGCTCATGTGAGTGCTTCTCCACTGCACAAACATTTGTCAAAGGACCTGGTCCTCGGTCTTCTCAAAATGAAATTTGCAGATAACAAATGTTGTGACGATGGTGTTGAAGAGAAGCAGATCAGACCATCCTTCAGGTGGTATAAGCAGGCTTTTTATCTTTCAAAGGACTTTCGGGCTGAAGTGGTGAATACTATATGTTTTGTGACCAAAATGATAATATTGAGAAGGTTGATCTCAATATTGATGAAGTAATAGTTGTGGTATACTATTCATCCAACAAGGCTTATCGGGAGTATAAAAAGGTGGTCATGTGATTTTTGATGAGTTTGGAAGAATTGAGAAGTTGCAAAAGAAAGGAGATTCTGAGACGGAAGTGCTGCTTCAGATTCATAGAGACGGTTTAAACAGTGAGCTTGCTGAAGAAAATCCTCTTCATGAATCCAGCAATCTCAAGGAAGTTGATGCAGATGATGAACCTGATGAGGGACCCAGTCCTATAGACAGTGCTGAAACCGGATTGAATGGATCCTGCCTGAAGCAATCGACCATCTCATAACTATGCAAAGGGAGCAGGTATCCTTGTTTTTCAGTTATGTATGTTTTAGCAAGTTCAATCCTATACCTTTTGTAGGTATACACATGGCAAAAGGGCTGAAGCAAAAAGGAGGTCAAGACAGATCTAGGCAACGACATTCAAACTAAGAGAGGGACCTGGTCTGAAGGTTAGCACTCTTAACATTGCAGTTTGAATTATGCATGAGAACTGTTGCAATTGCCACATGTCTGTCATTCAGGTATCTGACTGTTGCCTCATCAATTGAGTACCAAAATGACACTTCCTTTCTCTTCCTTTATACTCCATATTTCTTTTCAAATCTCCTTCCAAAATATCAGATTTTTTTTCGTAACCTTCTTTTATCCTTTCTAAAAAAAAACACTTCAAATGGTTAAACCCTCTGTTCTTATTGAAGAACTTTCTGATGAAGATGTTTTCAAGTGTGAAGAGGGACCAGGTCCACCAAGCAAAAAGAAGATGGTGAGAAAGATGATGTTCAAAAAGGGAAAAGGTTGATATTCTGAGAACTCAAAGTATTCTGAATAGGAGGGTGTCTGAAAAAAAAAAGTAAAACATTTGGTTCCTCACTTATTGATCTATTCATCTCGGATGCGTTGAGTAAGTTTGATTTTACCAATCTTTCTGTTATGAGAAACTCAGGCTAGTGATGGAAGTAGTGATAATTGATCTTGCTTGCAGGGATACTAAAATTGTTTGCCTAAAGGCTTAGCTTCTGAAACTACACTATCAGAGGGACCAGGTTGAATTTTTTTTTTTGAAAAATAGCAGCTCTGAAGGTTCAACATGAAGCCTAGGCAGCAAAGAACGTGAACTTTAATTGAGGCTTCTAAAAATACCATGCTAAGGAATATGCTCTACTAATTCTATTCTTTCAATCCCTTGCCTCTAAGTCATCTCCTCTCTTCCTAAATTTCTAAGTCAGTCCTCATTCCTCTTTTTCTATCGAACCTAAGTGGGCATTCTTCTGGTTTTCATTCGTAAGCATATTTGCAATGTTTTGATGGCTAATCTTTTATTTATGAATGAAAAATGTCTTGCTTCTACTGGCTTGTCTCATTACTTTATGCATTTTTTACTCATGCTCAGTGTTGCCCAAGTGGCCATGAATTTGCTTGAACTGCCTTTCTGTCAACTTGGTTTACTGCTTTAACCCTTTTTTATGATGTCAAAAGGGGGAAATTGTTAAGGTATGAGATCAATGATGTTAGTTACTTTGAAGAAGACCTGGTCATGCTGATAGGGGGAATAAATGCTAGCTACTTGAAGAAGACCTGGTCATGTCAATAGGGGGAATCAATGCTAGCTACTTGAGGAGGACCTGGTCCTGCTGATAGGGGGAATAAGTTGTGTCATCATCAAAAAGGGGGGAAATTCTATTTTGAAAGATTAGTAGAATCAAACTTACTCAAGGCCTTCGAGATGAATAGATAAATAACTGAGGAACCATTTTTTTTTTCATTTTTTCATTTTTTCATTTTCTTTTCAAGGTCAGACACCCTCCTATTCAGAAAAATTTGAGTTCTTAGAATATCAACCTCTTCCTTTTTGAACATCATCTTTTCCACCTTCTTCTTTTTTCTTGTTAGACCTGGTCCCTTTTCACACTTAAAAACATCTTCATCAGAAATTCTTCAGTAAGAATAGAGGGTTTACACATTTGAAGGGTTTTTTTTTATTAAGAAAAAAAAGGAAGATTTTGAAAATTTCTGATTTTGTAAGGGGATTTGAAAAGAAATATGGAGTATAAAGGAAGTGAAAGGACGTGTCATTTTGGTACTCAAATGATGGAACAACGGTCAGATACCTGAATGAAATGAATGTAGCAATTCAAATGATTCTCATGCATAATTCAAATTGCAATGTTAAGAGTGCTAACCTTCGAGAACGGATCGGATCCCTCTCTGTAGTTTGAATGTGATTGCCTATCTGTCCTGACCTCTCTTTTCCTTCAGCCCTTTTTCCATGTGTATACCTACAGAAGGTATGAGACTGAATTTGATAAAAAATACATAACTGAAAAGCAAGGATACTTGCTCCTTTTGCATTGTCATGAAATAGTTGATTGCTTCAGGCAGGATCCATTCAAGAAGTTTCAGCATTCCCAACATCAGTTTGATTATCTCAGCCAGGTCTACTAGAAGCTTCAAGATACTGCTTGGTCCATAAGAGTTGAGCACATCAAGCAGCACTTGCTACATTCTCTGCCTCAGTTGTTGAAAGAGCAACTGAATCTTGCCTTTTAGTTCCCCATGAGTGAGAGATCAGCCTATAACACAAGCTACTCCTGAGGTAATCTTTCCATCAACTTGATACCCGGCATAATCAGCATCACATGTTCCTCCAAATCAAAAAGTCTCTTGATGGACAGAATAAAACTAAGTCCCTGTTTTCTTCAAGTGTCTTCGGATTCTCTTAGCAGCTCTCAAATGTGATTCCTTTGTACAAGAATGGAGTCTATGAACAAGGTTCTTCAATATCCAGCTTCAAGTTAGTACCCATGAGAGTATGAATTATGTAGGCATCCATAACATTAAACTTTTTCAACAGCTTCCCTGAACTGGTACCAGGTCCCTGTCTTTGATCATACATCAATTACCCTAAACGTTGTGCTATCTTCTTCCCTGTACCTAAGTTCCTATGAGAGTATACAACTGGTCCTTGCTTAGGGATTCAGTGAAGGTGTTAGCCACTTGAACTTCCATTTTGCAAACTTCATGATGACATTACCCCTCTTTATCATTGTCTTGGTTTCAAGTATGTTAAGTCATTTGAGCAGCTCATTGATGTACTTTTCTTGACACCCAAGGGTAACTTTTGAGGTTTGCTTGATCTACATATCCAAGAAGAAATTTAATTGTTCCATTATGCTCATTTCAAAACTCACTATTCATGAGTGCAACAAACTCTTCACACAACACCTCAAAGGTTGCTTCAAAGATGACATCATCAATATATACTTGAAAAATCAACAATTCCTTTCCTTCTGATTTCAAAAGGGGGTTTTGTCAAATTTACCTCTTTTGAAGCCATTGTTGAAGAGGAATTTGGTCAACCTATCAGCTTGTTGGGGAACTGAGTGTCATACTTTGCTTCTTTCAAACTGAGCTTGATCAACTTCTTCATTTTCATCTTCAGAATTCACATTATCAGTTTGAACTGCACTATCTTTGTTCAGCACTGTCTACAGGACCGGGTCCCTCATTAGGTTCATCATCTGCATCAGCTTCCTTGAGATTATTGGATTCATGAAGTGGATGTTCTTTAGCAAGCTCACTATCTAGACCGTCTCTCTGATTCTGAAGTAGCCCTTCCATCTCAGAAACCTTTTTCTTTTGCAACTTCTCAATTCTTCCGTACTCATAAAAAATCACATGACCACTTTTTGATACACCCGATAAGCCTTACTGGAGGAAGAATATTCCACAACTATTCTTTCATCACCATTGAGATTAGACTTCTTAATATCATCATTTTGGTCACTAAACATGTATTATTCACCATTTCAGCCCGAAAGTTCTTTGGAAGATTAATAGCCTGCATATTCCACTTGAAGGATTTTCTGATCTGCTTCTTTTTAACACAAGAATCACACACTTTGTCATCTGCAAATTTTATTTTGAGCAGACTGAGGACCAGGTCCCTTGACACAAGTTTGTTAAGCAGAGAAGCCCTCATATGGATGAGTCTCATGAGTGATTGATCAGTATTCTCACCTTGACCATAAAGGAAAGTGATACTGTTACTACGAGCAGTGTTCAGATCAGCAATATACATGTTCTTGCATCTCTTTTCTTTCAAGATCATCACCCGTGAGAGAAAGTTTGTGACAATACATTTTTTTGACAAGAACTTAACTTTATTTTGTTCATCACAGATCTGTAAAACACTTGAAAGAATATACTTCAACCCATTGACATAGTACACAACTTCAAAAGAGTGTTCCGCGGACTTTCAAGTTCTACCTACACCAA